TATTTAATGCCACTGAACTATATGCTTAAAAATGGTTCAGAAAGTAAATTTTATGTTGAGCATTTTGCCACAATAAAAAAAAATGGAATAAAAAAGAGTCAGTGATGTAGAGATCTCCTTTTATAGTAGGTGAAGACAAATGTGTGTTTGTGTGCATGTGTTTCCTTATCCAAATACCTCAAACTTAAAAGACGGACTAACTTTTTCTTATTTACCACAGTTAAACATGAAAATGACTTTTCTCCTTTTCCTCTCACCTTTTTTTTTTGTTGTTGTTGTTGTAGTAGTAGTTGGCTTCATAGGGTTTCGACAAATTCAAATAAGCCAGGAGTAGAGGTATATCCCTAGTTGTTTCAGGAAATAGCTAGAAAGCTTGGCTGCACACGTCTTTTATAACATTTACAAAGCTGCTTGCTTCTAGGACACCATGGGTTTAACGTTTGGGGATGTAAACTTTCCTTTGCTTGAGCCTCAAATTCTGCACAAGTCACAACACAAGCAAAAGGCCTCCAAGGTAATGAGCTTCAGAAAATTATGATCTGGTTTTTGAAAGATCTATCAACATAGTATTCACAACTGGAATTTTGCAATTTACAGAAGGGATGAGGAAGGTTTTCTATAGAGGACCATGTTCATGGATTAAAAAAAAAATAAATGAGGGCAAATCAAAAGTAACTAAAAACTAATATTCAGATGTTTGATGTGGGGAGAAAAGTAGAAGAAAGAGCGTTAAAAACAGGAGGTAATCCAGTGAATTCCTGTGAATAGATGTTCACTCTACATTACAGCCAGTTTAAAAGAGAAAGAAAAAGGGAGAAACAGGATCACACAGAAGGAAAAACTACTGCGAGGGAAGAAGTGAAGCATCCAAAAATGTATAATATTAGAGAAGGGTGCATGTGCCCTAATTCAGCCCCACCCCCCACCCCGTGCAGCTCTGGCTCCACCCCCAAGTTTCCAGCTGCAGTCACCCTCATCTCCCCTCCTTTCATCTGGTCCTACTCCTTCATCTGTTGGTTCTGCCGTCTGGTTTCAGCCTTTTGCTCCTCTTTTCACCTTCCAGTCAATGGAGATCCCCCACCAAGTGACTCTGAACCTAAAATGGATGCAGTATCCATTTTACTTGATTCTCCCTCCTCACCACATAGTCACTTTTTAGGAAAATAAGTACTTTGGAACATCAGTTCGGGACTCTACAGTTCTTCCAGTCTTCAGGAGGGGGGTTTCTTTACTACTTTCATGGGAAAGCAGTTGTATTTGAGAAAGAGGAAAATGCACTAAGTGATTCTAAAAATGGCACTGGACTCTGCCTGGGGCAGGTGGTAAAACAAGAACATTCAGGATGTATCTGCCTAAAACTAGGAGCACAAACCAAAGCCTATGTTTACTTTTTCTCTTAAGTCCATTTAGGTTTCAAATGTGTGCTCTCCCCAGCATTTCCAGACCGCTGCCCCATCCTTCTTCTTTTCCGACCTCAATTCCCCACCTCCCTACTTCCCTTCTCTGCCTGTACAGAGGTCTCCTTCCATTGTAGGCAGAATATCTCCCTGCCAAGATGTTCATGCCCCAAGTCCCAGATGGTGTAAATAAAAATATGTTGCATGGCAAGGGGATCTAAGGTTCCTAATCAGCTGACCTGAAGATAGGGAGATCACCCTGGATTATCTGTGCAGGCACAATATAGTCACAACGGTCCTTAAAAGTAGAAGAGGTGGGCAAAAGAGGAGTCAGAGTCAGAAGGAGATGTGACTTCAGCAGAGGTCAGAATAATGTGAGGTGAGAACGACTCATCTTTGCCAGTTTTGGAGATGGAGGAAAGGACCAAGAGCTAAGGAATGCTGGCAGCCTCTAGAAGCTAGATAGAAAAGGCAAGGAAAAGAATTCTCCCTTAAAGCCTCCAGAAGGTACACAGCCCTGCTTACACCTTGATTTTAGCCCAGTGTGACCCATTTCAGACTTCTGATCTCCAGAACTATAAGATATATTTTGAATTTCTATTGTTTAAGTCACTGAATTTGTAGTAATACATTACAACAGCAATGGAACTAATACACTTTCTATCTCCATCTCCTTGGAACACCCACAGCTTTTTCCAGGGAATGGAAAAGGCATTAGGACACAAACTTTCCTAGATACTCAAATGAAAATAATGGGTCATTTAATCAGTTAATAGCAGGTCTGTTGGCTAGTGAAACCCTTAATAATTGTGGTCTAAATAAGATAGTCACTTATTTGTCTCATATAAAAGATGGCCAGTCCTTAGCTGGCATGGTGGCTCCACAGAGTGAGTAAGGACCCAAAACTTCCTGATTGCCCTAGTGAGTGGCTGTCATTCTAGAGGTTCAAGATGGAGTTCCATGGTCAACACAGAGGCCTTGCAGGCTGGTAGCAGGAAGAAGGGGAGGGTATACACCTTCCTTTTGAGAACATTTCTGCTTATATCTTATTGGCCAAAACTTAGTCATGTTAATATACCTAGCTGCAAGGGAAGCAGAGGAATGTATTTTTCAGAAAAATATACCCAGCTAAAATTCAGCGTTCTTGTGGTCTCTGTCTCATATAAAAGATGGCCAGTCCTTAGCTGGCATGGTGGCTCCACAGAGTGAGTAAGGACCCAAAACTTCCTGATTGCCCTAGTGAGTGGCTGTCATTCTAGAGGTTCAAGATGGAGTTCCATGGTCAACACAGATGCCTTGCAGGCTGGTAGCAGGAAGAAGGGGAGGGTATACACCTTCCTTTTGAGAACATTTCTGCTTATATCTTATTGGCCAAAACTTAGTCATGTTAATATACCTAGCTGCAAGGGAAGCAGAGGAATGTATTTTTCAGAAAAATATACCCAGCTAAAATTCAGCGTTCTTGTGGTCTCTGTTAAAAAAAATATATATATATATATATATATATATATATACACACACACACACACACACACACACATTACTTATAAAGAAGAGAGGAAGAGGCATTGGGAGGCAAGTTGAGGTCTCTGCCACAAGTTACTATGTGATCCGGTTTAGATTCAAGGACAGAACAGTAGCTGGCCAAACCCTCAAAGCTCCCTCAGGCCCAATGAGGATTTGATAATTCTGTGATCATCTGCATTTTAGTGTGATGAACTTATTCTATTTGGCAGAAATGTTAGCTTCATAGAACAGCATCCAGGTGCTTGTAGATCATGGCTGCTTCCAACTTTGGATGAACAGAAGAGTTAGGCTACTCTACTTGAAAAGTCAATACTCCATCTTGGCCCTGTGAAGTATTCTTAGGCTGTTAGGTGTCTGTTTGATTGTGGGGCATATAATTTCCCTATGAGACTGAAATGATTGGGTCCCTAACCACACTGATGAAATCATAGTTGTTAAAGCCTCCTTTCATTTTTTTGTTTTTACATGCAATTCTCCCTCCCTTGATCTTCAAGCATATGAAAATAAGGTTCAAAGATCTTTATAGCTTCAGAAATCCCTTCAATCTTCCACCCATTTTAGTGTCTCCAAACTCTTCGCAAAAAGATCGAAGGAACAGTTAATTATCTTCCAATTTATACTGTAAATGCTGTTGGGTGGTTTATTTTGCAGTATTTTTTTATAAAGTAACACTCTCTATAAAGGGACTTTATGTTTATAGAGTTATACACAATATCTTCTTTTGTCTTGAAAGATTAGATATCAAGAAATAAATACTAAAGGAGATAATTTATAGACTTTTGCTTTTTTGGTAGTTAAAACAAAAATTGTTTCTTGATTTCAGAGGATAGTTAAAAATATATGTATAGAAATTTTTACGGTTTATTCTTCCTTCCCCAGGTTTTCTGTGGGTCCTCTATCCTTTTTGAGATGGGTAACCTGATCCTACCTCATCTCTGAGGCAGTGTTTAATACTTCTCATTTCTTGGGTCATGCACTCTAGTCAAATCAAAACTCTCAGATATTGTTTCACTATTGGGTATCAGTGACCCCCAGGGGCATATTTACACAGATGGTCCAGAGATATAGCATATGGCACCTTGACACGGAGCAAGACCTGGTCAGAATGTGGAGAAAATGGGCACCAAAAGTAAAATAGGATTCTTTCCAAGATGAACAAAAGGATTAGAAGAGAAATGAAATTGGGATAGGTCTTGAAAGTGGAGGGGGACACAGATCAGGAGGGGTTATGGCAGGGCCAGAGCAAAAAAACCATCTCACAATCTACATAGGTATAGAACTCCACTCTTGAAACATTTATGTTCCATTTTCATATTTATAAAAGTAGTAAGTCTGTTGTACTTAATTTAGAATAATACTGGCGAACTGTATTTAACAATTTAGGCATGGCTGCTTCTCCCCCCTTGACGTGACAGATGTGTTCCTGAAGAATTGTGAATAAAGTGGGCAGTTGTGAATCAGGCCACATTTCAAATAGAGAGGGGAGGAGTGGCTGTTTACAACAATGCTGGATTAAGCGACACCGAAAAGCCAAGCCTGCTATTGCAGTGTCTCTGCAGTATAATAAGCTGAGGTGGTCACAGTTAACTAGAAGCTTGAGGTTTCAGCCCATCCGGAGAAAAAACATTATAAGCTTGGTGTCTTTAATCCTGAAGGAGTATGTAATTTACCATTCATCCCTCTGCTCACCTTTCACTCCTCATCCTCTGAGGGCACTTAACACAGTTTATGAAAATAGTGAAATAGTGGCACCCAATAAATAACAGCAATAATACACACTGTCACCCTTACCATTTTGAACTTATTTTATAAATTAAGATAATCTTATTATTTTGCTTTTTTAATGTGGCAGTGCAAGGTATTCTACCTGATTTAGTAAACATTCATCTTTTTTTTTTTTCTCTGAAGAAGGGATGGGGAGGTGGAGAGACTTGGAAAATTAAACCTCATCATCTGGTCTGCCTGCCCATCAGACATAGTGCTGACTGGGGGATCCCCCAGTTGCCATGAACCTGCACATTTGACGGCTCATGAATTCTCTGACACATTATTTTTCCCTCTTTTTTTCTTTTCTAGAGTGTCTGAAGACCCATCCAGCACCCCGATGGCCAGCAACAACACCGCCAGCATAGCCCAAGCCAGGAAGCTGGTAGAGCAGCTTAAGATGGAAGCCAACATTGATAGGATAAAGGTGAGGACAACACAGACCCTGCAGCTCATCCAGCTTGATCATAAGGAGCATGATTTGCAGCCATCTGTCAAATGATTACTCTTCTAGAGAGGGATGAAGCCAGTAATGATAGGAGAGAAGCTTAGTAATTAGGCAAAAGTTTATTTTTATAACATATCTTTGCCTTTTCTAGATTTCTCCAGCATAAAATGATAGTATAAATTAAAACTGGTTCTCCATTTAGAATTAAAAACAATGTGACAAGAACAGCAAAATGCAACGAAAAAGCAAAACAGGCTCATGGCTAAATTTCAGCCAAAGAAATTGGAGAACAACACATAAAACATATCAGTCCACCTGTTTACCTCCATGATCTTGTAGAGACCCTCTTCTCATTTGGATTTTAATTTTTTCTATCCTGCTTCAGGTTCTAAGGTTAAGTGTGTACCTTTAATGTCTAAGCCTTCTATTCATCACTGCAGGTTCTTTTTTTCTTCTTTATATCTGACTGAATTTTTTTCTTCAAAGCAGAAAAGTCACACCTGGTCTCCCTAAGAAGTCAAAAAGCATACAGATTGGGCCAAGCCTGTGGCGCACTCGGGAGAGTGCGGCGCTGGGAGCACAGCAGCGCTCCCGCCACGGGTTCGGATCCTATATAGGGATGACCGGTGTGCTCACAGCGCTCACTGGCTGAGTGCGGTGCGGCCGGTCTCAAAAAGGACAAAAAAAAAAGCATACAGATTTAGTGAAAGTTAATAGTCTGCTTTCTTTCTCTTGCTCTCCAGACCTAACCTGACATCTTTGCCATAAGTTGGGCCTAATTCATTAGAACCAAGACTTTAAATCCAAACCAGGTAAATTTTGAATGTGAAGTTGGCCCACACAGTGTCATTATGAATAGATACCTGTTGCAGGGTTGTAAAGGAAATTTTTGTCAACCATCAGAACTTTACTTCCCCAGAAGTAAAAGGCTTTACCCAAGAAATTTAACAAGTAAAACTCAGAAACACATCTCATGTACTAAAATTAAACTAGAACATCTTTCCAAGTGCCTTTTTTTAAACTAGAGTATTTCTTCTATTTTTTCCATATCTGACTCAGCAACCTGGGCAATCCGGCCCTCCCTTGGAGTGTGCAGGGGTCAATAAAACTATGCTCGTGGGCCAAATCCAGCCCACTGCCTATTTTTGTAAATAAAGTTTTATTGGAACACACTCATTTACATATTGCCTATGGCTGCTTTCACTCTACAGTAGCAGAGTAGAGTAGTTACAATAGAGACTATATGGCCATAAAACCTAAAATATTTACTCTATGGCCCTTTACAGAAAAGTTTGCTGAACCCTGGTCTAGAGCAATGGTTTTTAGCCCATCTGTGCACTCCTATCACCCAGAGAGTTCTATACAAGGACCAACTCCCAAACCACACCCAAACCAATTAAATTAGAATCTCTTGGGATATGATATTAGATATCAGTATTTTGATATGATATTAGATATCAGTATTTTGAACAAGGACCAACTCCCAAACCACACCCAAACCAATTAAATTAGAATCTCTTGGGATATGATCCAGATATCAGTATTTTGTTTGTTTCAAATTTTCAGTTAATTCCGATGTATAGCCTAGAACCATTCTAGGGGAAGGGGTTTACTCCTTCTACCTCCCATCAGGTATGTGCTACAGAGGGAAGGGAAAGCTTATCTTCTTCCATCAATAAGCTGAGCAAATATCCACAGACATTTTTCATCTATCCAAAAGCCCCTTTGTACAATTCAACTCCTGCTAGTGGGCCACCAGATGTCATCAGCTCCCGCTCTTCTTTCAACAGCTTTAATTCTTTTTTATTTAAGAATGAGATAAGTAAAGGGTTCTTACCATCTGCCTTTCTCCTTTGCCACCTTCCTCTTTCTCTCTTTTCTTCCTTTTTTTTTTACTCCCTTGCTAAAAAAGTTCAGTGACAAGTGAGTACAATAATTGCTGAGAGAAGTAGAAGTGGCCCAAGGATTGCAGCATCAGAAAGAGTCATTCAGTTTTTTGTGGGGAGAGGAGAGTTCTGCCTATGGGTCTTCTGGAAAATACCACTTGCCTTCTGGGTTGGCCCACCTAAGATAAAAGTTCGTGATGCTCTATTGCAGTTAGCATTTTCTGTTACTACTCAGCATCCTCAGGCACTGTTCCTGAAGGAGAAGGTGATGTGCTGATGGGTGGTGAAAACTGACAGTGGGAGTAGGAGAACAGAAATAGACCTTTTCGGCAGCTGGTCAGATCTTGATCATCCCTCACTGCAAAGGTTCCTCCTTAGTCTCTGCAATCCTGTCTCAACCCAACTCCATCCCTGTCATGAATTACTCTCCACATTGCTGCAAAGAAAACTTTCTAAAAGAGAATCTCATCAGGTTCCTCTCCCACTGATAATCTTCTTATGTTCCCCATCACCTGTAAAATAAAATTCAAATTCTTGCTCCCCTGTCCCCTGCCCATCTCTTCAGCTTCATCCCCTTCTTCTTGCCCACATGCCTTATAGAACCACTTTTAATTCCCTTAATGGGAATTTCAAATGCCTAGAACATTCAATCTACTTCTCCTCTCTACCTTCCTGCTTTAGTAATGCTTAACTGCATTGACTCCTTGAAGATTCAGACCAATCATTAGGTCCTTTAAGAAGTTTTCCTAGACCCTCATCACAGGTTGGATTTCTGCTGTTTGGTTGTTCATTCATTCATTTATCTAATAAGCATCTTACTGAGAGCTTCATAAGTTCTCAGGACTTGTTAGGTTCTAGAGATATGGGGATGAATAAAGACATGATTCTTTCCCTCAAAGATCTCCAGTCTAGTGAAGGGTTAGAAAAAATATGAACAAGGCCTATTATCACTGCAAGTAAGCTATCCAAGAAACATAATTACCAAATGCCAGCAGAAAATGTATCATAGTCCACAATCCTTCTCTTCCCCTTCCCATTTTCCTTTTATTTCTCTTTACTCTCTATTCTTGAGTAAAATGCTAACAAAGAAATGCAGAAAGACTGGGAGTCTAATTTATATATGCCTGAGGCTTATGAACAGATAATGGGCTCATTAGCCCAAATCTCCCAGGATCTGTGATGCAAAGGGATAGGAGACAAAAAGGTTTAAAAATGAATGTGCTATTCAGATTCAGTAGGGCTACTCTATGCAGCCTGAATTATTCTGGAGTCCACATGAGGGATAAGGCCACCCCCTGCTCAAGGGACCCTTAACAGTGCCAGTGCCAGCTGTGTCCCATTCCCTCTTATTAAGAGTCCTATTCCTTGTCATCTCAGCCAAATGTACATAAAGGCATTGCTGTCCTTTATAGCTTGAAGAGGTCACTACTGTAACTGGAAAATCAAAAACATGGGGGTTCTTCAGAGAGAAGCCCCTTTCTGCTGACAGGATCATGCATGGAAATTAAGTGGAGAAGCCTGAAAGCTCAGAACCCTAGAAGGGACTCCTAAAGGCAGATAACCAAGCCCTAAACCAGGTAGCTGACAACTGTGTCAATACAGTCTTGGTTTTATCCAACAGCTATTCTAAAAATAATCTGTCACTTCATCACAGCACGCCTCCCTGCCTCTGAGATGCAGAACAAATGCTGAAATTCAGGCTGCTGCTGTATTTCCAGCAATTTAAGGTCTAATGACATCAAGAGGGATTCAGATATGTGAATGTGATGATCCCCTAGGAAGGCAACCACTAGGTGCTCAGTTTATTAGGCTAATGTTTTGTCTTCCTTTTAGTAGTGATTTATTTGTGTCTTTTTAAAAGGCAGTCAGGGTGTCGTATTGGCTTCTTTCTGATGACATTTGGTAATTATGTTTCTTGGATATCTTACTTGCACTGATAATAGGCCTTGTTCACATTTTTTGCAACCCTTCACTAGCCTACAGATCTTTGAGGGAAAGTGACAAATATGTATAAATTAATGAATCAGATATGAACATTTCTAATGATTAAATCATCTTTCTGATGATTAACTCATAATGCATTGGAATTGAACTTCAGGAAGCTCTCTACTGAGAAATGGGCCAGTTAGACATCATGCTTGGTATTAGGGAGAGGACATACATCCTAAGTTTGGGACTTTTTAAGTATCTTCCAGCATTTGAGTTGAATATTTTAACATCCTTCCCTAAAATGCATATGTACAATTTTATTAGGAAGAATGGGAATCAATTATCCTTCTAGGCCAATTGAGAGTATTTTCAGGCATGATAAAATTATTGACTTAAATGATAATATCAAAGAACTTAAAGAGGAAAGGGCTGTATTCAAAGATGGCCAGTCCTGATTCATTTAATTTACTGAAAATGAATCAAACAATTTTAAAAGTGTATTCAGTCACATGTTAATAATTGAGCATAAAACTTCATTTTTATGAGGGCTGAAATAATTTTTAAAAATTCAATTCATATTTGTTAAGCACCAAGTATATTCTTAGCCTTATGCATTGCACTTAGCACCTATAGAATCAGTACTCTTAAAACCGTGGTAATCTGAAAACCCTGGGAAATGAATTTTTCTAAATAGCCTAGTACTTGGGCTAGATGAACTCTCCCTTCTTAAAAATATAACTATTTGAGATGACAATATTGAATGTCCTTATTCTTTTATTAAATAGAATAAAATAAATTTAATGTACTTTTCTTGATGACTTGTTTTGAAAATTAATTATTCTATTTTCCTTTTTTAAAAGTTCTGATATATACCATCAGCTCAATATCACCCTGGAGGAGCAGGGAGAAGTAGATGTTTATTCATACAATTATACTTTCTCTCATATCACAAAGTTTGATCCCAGATACTCGTTACAACCACAGTGGAAAGATCCTTTAGAGTCACCTTTGGCCACCAACATGATGGAGGCATCATGGTGACTTGCTGCTTTACATTCCCTACATTAGTGATCTTGTTCTCCATAGCACTGTTGTATTTTCGATCCCTATAGTTCCAAGACAGAACCACAGTGGAAAGATCCTTTAGAGTCACCTTTGGC